GCCAACGACCGACCTTATCAAATCAGCACAGCTACTTCTTGTGAGCACAGACTCTCACGTCCAGGTAGCTGCCGTCAAGTCGGTTGAGCTGCGCGCGGGCACCGCCAAGCAGAACGACCGCAAATCTGTAGAGGCCCTGATCTCTTTCTTGCCTAGCGTTCAGGATCTACTGGAACAATCACCTGACATGGATGCCAAGATGGTCTCTGTCAGCTGCATTGATCGCATCGTCGACCGCTTCGGGAAGAAGGACGTATCTGCTGTTGTATCAGTAGCTCAAGTTGTGTCCGGTCCCCAATCGCTTTCCAGCAGCGATGATCGCCTTCGCATCCTCTCCCTCCTCTGCCTCACATCTGTCGTTGACGTTCTCGAAGATGAGGCCATCTCGCTCCTCCCTACCGTGTTGCCAACAGCATTCCAATATCTATCGGATGCGATCGAAGAGGAAAAGACTGGTCTTCACAACGCTGTGTTTACCGTGCTTTCGAACATTGTCGAGCGCTTGGGCTACATGTTCTCGCGCGACTACTTGGACACCGCTCTTCGACTATGCCAGCGCTCTGCCGCTGCCGATCTGGAACAGTCCTGCGACGAAAGCCGCAGCAGTTTCTTCCAGAGTGTATCTGAGCATCTCGGTGCTCAGGAAGTGTTCGCTGCTATCAAGTCAACGTGGCCACATGCCGCCTCTCAAGGCTTCGATGCGTCACTTGAGCAGCTTGAGCTTTTGCGCGCGACTGTCAACAATCAGACCAAGGCTAAGCTTGTCAAAGCCAGTCCGCCCCTCTTCACTCTACTTCTGCAAACTTTCCGACTACGTGAGACGGTCCAATCTACTACCGTCGAAGTTGATGAGGAGGAGCTGGAGCAGCTGGAGCTTACGCTTATTGACTCCGTCATCTCTATGGTACTGAAGCTCAGCGATGCTACATTCCGACCGTTCTTCGTTCAGCTTGTGGACCAGGAGGGCCCACTGTCGAGCAAGCCTCAACAGGCTGTCACCTTCTACAAGTTCCTCGGCGCCTTCTTCGACAAGTTCAAGGTACGTCTTGCTCTTTTATTCCCCATCAAAATGTCACTAACACACAACTAGTCTCTTGTAACAAGCTATTCGAGCTACATCATCGAGCATGCCGCGAAGCTGCTGACTGAACTTGCTAAAGAAGACTCTGATGTTACCACACGCAGGGCTGTGCTTGACGCTCTCCAGAAGACATTCCAGCACGATCAAGACGGCTTCTGGCAAGCGCCATCTCACTTTGGCACCATTATGCCGCCCCTGCTGTCTTTGCTCAGCCTACCATCCGCATCGACATCTACACCAGAGGACAACACCAACAATGTCATTCCTACCATCACCGAACTTGCTGTTGCATCTGCATCATCCATGGAGAACCATCGCGAGATGAACAGCATATTGCTGAAGAACATGAGGAGCGACGACAGAAACACTAGGTTAGCGACAGTGCTGTGTGAGCAGAGCTTGACGAGGAGATTAGGAGAAGAGTGGCTGGGTCTACTTCCTGAGATGCTGCCTTTCATCAGTGAGCTCATGGAAGACGACGATGAGATGGTCGAGAGGGAGTGCCAGAGGTGGAAGAATGGTATGGAGGAGATTTTGGGAGAGAGTTTGGAAGGCATGCTACAGTAGTTTGTTGCTGCATGTGTTTGGTATAGATTAGCAGCTCGATATATGTGGGCGAATACATGCATTTATTTGCTTGTCACTATGAACCGCTCCCCATCGCTCGTCTCATATTGCGCTATATCATCCATCACATGTCAATCTTAGCATTCACCACCATTCACAAATGCTTTCACTCGTATATCGGGCAGATGTCACCAGTTTGCCCCAGAAGACCGCTGACGAGGTCAGTGCGGCTACCATGTGCTCTTCGCTGGGGCCTGGATAGCGGGCACTCCCCTTCCGCATATAAATGACGGGTCCATCTCCCTATACTGCACCTGATTTCACGTTACCTTGCATACCGCGTATCACACTCGCGGGAATACTCCATTGACTTCCGGCAACGTTGACATCAATATGCCTACCATCTCCCTTGCATCTCAAGCCAGATCGACAGCGGCTATGAAACCCGCTTCAGTAATGTCGCAGTCATTTAGCAAGAAGCGCAAGGCCGAAGAAGCGAACCCGATCTCCAAGAGCGGCTCTGATATGGCGCAGCGCAGCGATCCATCCTTGACAACTCCTACCAGCGACTATCTCCTTCCGAACGGGCACACAGATGTCCAGAAGACTCCAGCAAAGCGCCTAAAGACCACCCATCCGAAGCGCAATGTAAGTCCAGGTCCTGCCGCGAGCACCACGAATCGCACTATAGCCTCTAGTCGTGTATCGGCTACTGGCGCAGTGCAAGTCGCAATGAACGATACGCCTACACAAAGCTCCATGACACCGTCGACAAAATTGAGGGCCGCGAAGACCAAGGTTCACAACAGCGCTGTGTCAAGTGCTGAAGACGTGTACATCATGGAGACGGAAGACGACACTGCTTCAGAGGAAGAGCCTTCTACTTCGGAGGAAGGGTCTTATGCTTCAGGGGAAGAGGAGGATGGTGTAGAGGAAGAAGACGGCGCCGCAGTAATTACGGAACAACTGCGCGCTCGAGCGACCGGTATGAAACTCCCTGGTCCTTGCCATGGGCGTTTCCAGCTGACAAACACAGTTTTCAATCCACCACCTCGTCCAGCGATTACACCGTGGGACTACGATTTCCCAGCGCCAACGCCCCCCTATCACGACCAATCCAGTTGTCCAGTCGATTGGAGTAAAGTCGTCATCGATTCCAAAGTTTCCAAAAGATGCGAAAAGGCCTATGAGCTACGTAGGCCATGGCAACAAGAGCCAGTCGCTTGGGACAAGATGGCAGAACTGGGCAATGTCAGTGCAGAGGGCGTACGTAAGCGTTTCGCGTCAGCAAATAAGGCAGTCTTTGAGCTCACGGGAGTTTACTTCGCCACGAGCCCCCTTGGGCTTGCCGAGCATGACATCCCCTTGTACGCAGAGCTGAAGAACTTCCTTCCAGATACAAGCGAAGCGTCTCCGGTTCTGAGCAAAGAACCTATCACCAACCCATTGTTCTACGACGGTGAGGCTGTTCAGCTTGTGGTCTTTCCGCCTGGACAAGATGGTGGCGTCAATCGCTTCGTACCGCAAGAGGTCATGGACCGGCTACCGATCGACGACCAACACTTTCTTGAGTACTCCCTCGATAATTTCGATCGGTGGTACACTTCGGTTTTTCTAGGTCGCCGTCACACTTTCCCGAGACGCGTATACCGCCTGGAGCCATACGATGACACAAGCTTCATTCACCGCGATAACGGCACACCGTCCATCGCGATGAGCGATTTGTTCGAGACATACCGGCTCTCCCAAGCGATGGGGACTACGGAGGTCTGCGATATGATCCTTGACGAAATTGTCTTGTCTTTCAAGCAAGAAATCGAGCTTGTCAAAGAGCATGAAGAGGGGAAAGTTACCATGCAGGATTGCGACAACACCATCCAGTTCATGAGCCTCAGAATTGACGACGTCAACTTACTTTGGGAGCACACCAAGGCCAATGATAAGATCCGTATGGTAGTGCTCGAGTCATTGTTTGACCAAGTTGAGCTGTTACGAGCTAAAGTGGAAAAGCAAAAGCGTCATCTGAACAGGGCTTTCGTGATAGACTGGTGCTTCCACACCATTCTCTTAATGATGGCCGGGCCTTGCGACATTGTCCAGAGGTTCAGACGGGGCGAGGGAAATCTCCAAGATTTCTGCGCCCGGTACCACGACCATGGGAACTCTAAGTCTGAGTGTTTCCGCGCCAAACCTGAGTCCTCCAAACTCATTCCCGAGGAGACTGACGAACCCAGGATCATCAAAGTTCGCTTCGGTACTGTGGATCTGGAGATCGAGGATCGCGCTAGCTATGCCGGGGTCATCTTCCGCTTTGAGCGTCTAGTAGAGGACAAATCGGAGTGGGACTGGCTGCGCATACGCTCCATCGCCACGTTCGTTGAAGGCCCTCTAGTTCCTGATGCTCGCCGCAGGAAGTGGCACCTGGAGCCGATCTATTATGAGCTGGATACCATCGATGCCCATGGCCGATACCCTTGCCATCCAGGTTATCAGAACCAGGATTGGACACATCCGGTTGGAGAGCCAGATGTCTACGACGAGCCATGGGGGAAGGTCATCAGGCGCGAAGTCCCCGCGGGCGCGACCAAGTACCGCGAGACCAAGATACCCGCTGGCAAGGACGAGCATGGGAAGATAATTTTCAAGGTGACAGAAGTCTTCTTTGAGATTGAAGACCCGCGTTGGTACCCTCCTAATGACTGGAATGCGGACATGGACCCTTGCGATTTTTGGCCCCAGGAGCTCAGGGAGTATCGGAGGTGGCTCTGGGTTGAAGAAGGAGGGACGATCCCGCGGATTGAGGTTCAGCGGTTTCGACCTTATGAAGACGACACTCGTCATTGGAAAGAGCCTTTTGTGGATCGGATGAACAAGTTGAGCGTTTTTGACATCCTTAATTGATGTCTCGCCTGCCATTTCGTCAATATCCTGTATTGCTCGACATAATGGTAACCCAAATCAGTGTCAGCTTGTCCAAACCAATGGAACGGAATGTTGCTCTGTGCCAGTAGGAGATGAATACAACATTGACTGTAGTTGAGTGCCTCGTCACTAGTTGGACTATCAGAAGCCTGTGATGTTATCGTGCGGTAGATGCATGATTGGGTAGACCCTGGTCGCTCAATATGCGAGTGCACTGTACACCACTCCCTCGAATGGCCCAACGTCCCAGAATCCACTGTACTGGAACCTTTAGAAGGGAGTTGTCTTGGACGAGACTGCTTGGGTCCCGGCACTTGTGCGCCCCACATAGATGACTGCACAGGTCTCTCCATAGATATTCATCTGGTCTGAACGACGGTCGTCCTGTTGACTGGTCTGCAAAAGAAATCTGCTCCGCCGTCTAATCATCATGAAGAACTCGATCCTCGTAGCGGCCACGCTCATCAGTGCGGCGCTAGGTCAAAATGTCAGTCGCGGCGCTGCGATGATGCGCTTCGCATGTTCTCAACTCACCGTCGAGCGGCTAGACCCCTTGGTCAACCCTGGAGTCGTTGGAAGTCCGCATACGCACCAAATCGTCGGAGGGAACAGCTTTCAGGCTGAAATGAAGCCTGTGGAGTATGATCTGGTCGAGAAGAGTACTTGTACTACGTGTACTTTCAGCGAAGACTTCAGGTATGCCATGAGGCGCCTAGCTGTAGCGGAGTCATAGCTGACGGAACTTAGCAACTACTGGACTGCAGCGTTGTACTACCGCGCCTCTCAAAATGGCACCTACAAACGTGTCCAACAGTTCCCCAATCTTGGGCTAAACCAGAGAGGCGGTATGACAGTGTACTACATACCTCCATATGATGGCTTCAGCAACGTGACTGCGTTCAGACCCGTCCGTCCTCCACTCTTGAGGGCGAGAGACTTCGCTTTCCTTCCAATGAGCGGTGTTGCTGACTTCTCATTAGGGTTTTCGCATGCTCGCTGGTAACCCAATTCTTCGCAATACCACTGGCGAGTCCCGCGGTATCTGCCATCGCTGCATTTACAAGGACTCACAGCCCTTTGGTGGCGCTCCGTGTACAGGAGAAGATACAACGTTCCTCCCCAACCGCATGTGCGAAGGTGGCATTCGTACCCAAGTCACCTTCCCTACATGCTGGGACGGCGTCAACCTCGACTCGCCAGATCACCAGAGCCACGTCGCATATGCAGAGATCCCGTATGAGCCATACTTCCCGCCCATGGCTACATTTCCGTATACACCCGAGCAGCAGAGGGGCAAGTGTCCAGAGGGCTATCCCGTGCAGCTTCCGCAAATCATGTATGAGGTCATGTTCGACACGACCCCATTCAATACTCCTGAGCTGTGGGGCGAGGAGGGGACACAGCCATTTGTGTTCAGTATGGGCGATGCGTGAGACCCCCTCTTCCCGTTGGAACGCGTGAAGGACCGTAATCATGCTAACGACTGATTGTAGGACCGGCCATGGTAACCATGGTGATTATATGTTCGGTTGGAAGGGCGATGCGCTGCAACGAGCGCTGGACGCACGGTGCAGTAACGATCAATGTAGCGAGTTGGCTAGGCAGAGCGACGAAGACGCGATGAAGTGCAGTATTCCGCAGACGGTGGTTGAGGATGTCGACGGGTCTGAGACTTGTAAGCGCAATACTAGACACTCAAGGCACGATGCTAACTTACTGAGCAGGGTTGAAGAGCTTACCTGGTGGAGTGCAGATCAACGATGGCATGTAGAGGTCCTGTTGGCATTGAGCCAGGTGGTGTGGTAGGTGTCGAGATTCCAGTGGCACATGGAGCGACTATGTAGGCTGGCCACTGATGTGGCTACGCTCCTTCAGCTCCTTGACTGATGACAAAATAAATCCTTCTTCCTCAAGATACCAGACGAGCCAGAGTCCTCGATGAAGATACGTTGTTCGCGTTGCTGGCGTCGTGAAGAGCGCTGAACAGCATGATCGGTTTAACGATGGCTGCAAGGCCTGGGCGAGGAAGACAGAGGAGGTATCGTGTGTGACAAAACACAGAGAGGATATAGCATTATTGAAGCCGTGGGCAGCCGAGTAACGCGACGCGACGTATATCCATGGATGACGCAGGTACGCGATTTGACCTAACCGAAAAGATGTTAGCTCGCGTGCCGGCTCAGTCTTCCAAATCTACGCGTCGCACCTCAACCTCCCGAGGTCCTTACCCAGGAGCCTCTAACGAATTGGCGTTGTAATACTCAACTCCTCAAAGATCAAATACATAATCTGGCTTTACGCAGTAAGTCACTTGCAACAATCACACTCCCCCAAACGCGCAGTTGTTCGAGAAGCTCAAGTAAACATTGATGGTATTGCGGCTTATGTGCAGGCTCAAGCTATCTACAAGACGACCTTGTTGGGCGCTTCCTGCTCCTCTGGCTCATCAAAGATGTTGATGCTCCATCTAGGCTTGTTCGCCGTGTAGGGAACATTGTACCTTCTCCTTCCCTGGTGCTCATCCGAGAATTTGGTAATAGCCTTGATGTCTTCGTCGTCCAGCTCGATCTCCTTGAAGTTCTCAGCAATGCGCGACGGAGTAACAGACTTGGGAATGACAGAGTGGCCGCCGACTTGAGACCATGCCAGGATGACCTGTGCGGGTGTGGCGCCCTTCTTCTCCGCAATTGCTTTGATCTCAGGGCGGTGGATGAGCAATGGGATGTCGAAGAAGTTGTTGCCAAAGGCGGAGTACGCGGTGATGTGGATGTTCTTCTCCTTGGCGTAAGCGACGAGCTCCTTGCTGGGGAGGATGGGGTGACGCTCGATTTGGTTGACGGCAGGCACGAGGCCAGTCTTCTCAACCAAAGCCTTCAAGGTTTGGTATGTGAAGTTGGAGACGCCGACCGAGCGGACTTTGCTCTTTGGCAGCTTGTTCATGGCCTTCCATGTCTCGCTGTTAGGGACGGAGTTGTCGATGTTAACCTCATTGGGGTCAGAAGTCATGGGGAACAGATCCGAGTGAGGGTTCTTTCCAGGCCCGAAGTTGACAGGCCAGTGAATGAGGTACAGGTCGAGATACTCCAGCTCAAGTTCAGCGAGAGTGTCATCGAGAGCTGCCTCTACAGTGGCAGGATCATGCTGAGAGTTCCACAGTTTTCCCGTGATGAAGATGTCCTCACGCTTCAGACCTGGGATGTCCTTGTATGCGCGCTTGATGCCCTGCGCAACTTCCTTTTGGTTCTCGTAGCTGTGATTGGTGGAATATCTCGTCAGCTTGTGTTCTCAGGAATGCTAGTGGGGTATGGTCATAGCTTCCTAAGCTTCCATCTCCACTGAGGGGCATTGCAGTTGGACTTCCACCAACGCTGACGAAAAATTGTCCCACGTCAGGTGGGAGCAAGCCCGAAGTGAGATGGGTCAAAACGGGATTGTGAGTGTGAGCTGTGATGGTGGACATACATCTTTGCAAGATCCTAATTTGATCGAGTCAGCCGTTGAAATTGAACACAATCGTCGTTCAAAAGATGGAGTAAACGGTTCCAGGGTCTTCAGGGTCTCGGAGACTTACCAAGTGACGGTATCCGATCTTTAGTGCCTCGTAGACACCGTTGCCGACCTCACCTGGAGCGGCTTGCCATGTACCGTATCCCAATTGACTAAAGCGACGTCAGAACAACGAATCATCATAAGCACAGGCTGGAACAACATACGGGATCTTGTAGCCAGAGCTAAGGGTGACGGTCTTGCCTGAAGACATCCTGAATGATACTTGAAGTTTGAATGCTGGGAATGAATAACGTGGGGTGGGTGATTTGATCAAGGAAGGCAGAATTGCCCTCTTTAAATATCGCATCTCGAGCGCTCTCGGCCATCGTGTCGGCCGGGAGGGTTTATGTATGTCTTGCAGAAATTACTCCAGGACGTGGGATGTCGGACGTACACAGCAAGGCACAGCACCATGTTGGCTGGGCTGGCGGGAGAATTACTTGCTCTCGCGACGAAGATGCACCCCGCTATCGTGATTTGGGAGGACTACCTTGCAGCTGCGCATTGGTGGGGCGGACCTTTCGGTTGTAATGCCACCGAGACGTCGATGGCTGACGAGATGCTCCGCGTCTCATATCTTGGCTGCGAGAAAACGAAGTAACACGTCTCTTTCCGGCGAATCCTGAGATGACAGTCGATGTCGGCATAGGCGTATGTTCATGCAATGACCGCTTCCCCATATTGTTACAACGTCCCAGATAGACAATGTTTCAAGCGGACCTACCTTTCTTTCCTACTAAGTGCATTTGAATGAACTGAGTTACACGACATCCTTCAGTTCTGAGGTCACCTGGATGGATTCCGCGTCCGCTCGAAGAACGACGTATTGTGGGGTGTTATCCAGAATTGGCCCCAACGCTGCCATGTGCATGAGATGCCTAGGTAGTGAGCAGTATTCCAGGTGCCGGTATGACGGTTGAGAGCTGAAGGTAGACGGCATCTGATCCCCGTTCGTGATGCTGCGGACGAATGATCGCCAGCGAGGAGAAGCGAAGTTCTTGTGTTAACGATACTTCTCTTTTTCAAAAGGACCTAATTAGATAAATACATGTACATTTTAGAAGTTGTAAGTTGCTTATCTACGTTGCGTCCCTGTAGTACTATAAGACAAAGAGTAAAAACTAAAGTATTATACTACATACTTAGATGTAAGTTAGAAGACAGGGATATAAGATAGTTGCACTGCTGCGTCTTTGTTGCTTGCTCAACTCGAGAAGAAGCGAAGCGACAAAGCGTGGCTGAGCTGATTGCAGCACAGAGTAAGCTCTTCGATCTCCCTCATATTGGCAAGCATAGTCTCGAATGCCATCGGCGCTGCTCGCCGTTTGATAGTCATCGAAGTGGCAGCATAAACAAAGGGCTCATCCTGTTCAGTAGAAGAACCAAACGCGTTGCCTTGAGACTCTTATCATATAATTTGGTGGCCTCGACGCAAACGTAAATGCCGGAACCCTTACCTTCTAACCTGTTCATGCTGTCGGCTGCAAGGTTCGGTTCATTTTCTTCGTCGTGTGAGATGGTTGGATAGTCGTCGATGTGGCAGCGGCGTGGAGAAAGGGCCGGTGATAAGTTGGCGGGCGACTAGGGCGGCACCCCGCAGCGCATCTTGAGCTCGACTGGACCGTTATCGCACTCTTCTCCACTCGACGCGCCCTTTGAGGCGATAACATCGGCCTGATCGCGGTCGTCTGAAGTATAACAACGGCGCATCCAAGAGCTCCGACTCAAGGCCATCTTTGATCCATTGCAACTTACACTGCCTACTTACACACAGCTAGACCCCATCGCATCGCATCGCATCGCATTCCAAACATGGCACCCTCCGCTATCCAGGTCGAGCCAGCGCCAGTCGCGCAACCCAAGCAGCTTGTCCCACGATCCAAAGATGACGCGACCAAGGAGTTGACGCCGTTGCAAGCCATCTCGCAGGGCGTCTGCCTCCCCGGCATCCCCCTCTTCTCCTCGTACGACAAGCATCGCGCATGGATACTATCGCACATGGCGGGTGCTTTCCGCGTCTTCGCAAGGCACGGCCTGACCGAAGGCATGTCGGGTCACATCTCGGTGAGAGACCCAGAGCACCCGCACAACTTCTGGACGAACCCGCTCGGAAAGCACTTCGGTCTCCTGAAGGCATCCGATATGGTCCTTGTTGATTACGATGGCAAGGTGGTGGGAGGAAACCAGAGCAGACCTGCAAACGCAGCTGGCTTCCTTATCCACTCGGCAATACACAAGGCGCGGCCAGACGTCAACGCGGCATGCCATTGCCATGGAAAGGCAGGCAAAGCGTGGAGCGCCTTCGCGAAGCCATTGGAGATGCTGAACCAAGACGTATGCTACTTCTACGGCGATGCGCAAGCCGTCTATGATGACTTTGGCGGCGTTGTCCTCGATGAGGCAGAAGGCAAGAGGCTGGCAGCGGCATTGGGACCGAAGGGAAAAGGGATGGTGCTGCGAAACCATGGCCTCTTGGTACGTCCCCCAGTGCGCGATCCCGCGACCGGCATTCAGCTAATACCACACAGACGGTAGGAGGTACTGTCGACGAAGCCGCCTTCTTGTACACCCTCATGGAACGCTCTTGCGATGTCCAGTTGAAGATTGAAGCGGCAGCGGCCAACGGCGTCCCAAAGGTCTACGTCGACGACGATGCAGCGGCATATACATACAAAATGGGGGCCGATGCTGAGAGCCTATACTGGGAGTTTCAACCTGATCTGGAGTACGAGTACGAGATGAGCAATGGAGCTTTTAAGCATCCCGAATGCGACGAGGTAGTGTGGCCTGGATACTGAAGAAACCGAGTAACTGTGCTGCGGTCCACATTAGTTCGCAAACAAAACGTGACACAACCCTAAGGCAATGTAGACTCCTAGGTCAT